TAATCACTCCCCTCCTTGCTATAAAACGTCTACCTTTACATTTCCAACCCTCACAATCAGTCCTGATAACAATTATTCACTATTGTATCACAAGAGACCAGTCTGCATTTCATTTCATCAGCCCTGCCTAGACAGATTGAATACTACTCACTGGAGATTCTACCTTCCTCCAGGCCCTCTGGATCTAGGTTCTCTTTTGAAAGCTTGTAAGCCAGTCACTTCTTGCCTTTGTAGCCCCACGCCCCCATTTTGGGTAGCCAATGTCCAAGTTGCCCATCCCTGTCTACTCTGTGTGTGGAGGTGGGAATGATTCTTGTTGTAAGGACTTGTTCCCTCTTTTGATATGCCTTTCTTCTGAAGTACCTCTGGGTGAACTTGAACCTTCAACCTCTCAGTTACCAGTCAAATGCTTAACTATTTGCACCACACAAGGATTCTTCAGTAGTGGGCAGACCCTAATCCCTTCTCTCACTGTGTGCGTGATGTCCTGACAACCCACAGTCTAGAAGTCCAGAAGCACACAAGTGAGATAGAACCACCCAGACAGGGGATTGGCTGCTTCCCAGAAGGGTCATTTATGCAACACCACAACTAAATACAAAGAAGGTAAAGAAGACAGCCTCACTTTGTAATAAAGAAACTTCCAGAAAGGCTGCTGGCCAGGTCTCCTCCCCTCTAACAGCAGGGTCATTTGAATGTTTAGTAGACAGGGACCCTATGAAGATGGGCACTGTGAGGTCACGCCCCCCCAGCACACCTGGGTCTGGTTTCCCCAGCACTTACAGAATTTCCTGAGCAGGAGAGCAGCCAGCACGGCACCCACGAGGATGGCCCCCATGGCAAAGGTGATGCAGAGCACTTTCTTGGCTTCTGGAAGAAGAAGGGAGAGGGTAAAACTCAGTTACAGAATTTGAATCATTTTCTCAAACCTCATCCACTGTTTACATAGCATATAACACAAAGAACTACCAACTCCTTAGGTGCTAACTACTGATTTCTCCTAAAATGAGAATCTGATTTCTCATTTTAAAAACACATCGTTGGAGGTCATACTTTTTCCATAGCATGAAACTTTGTTTTTTGTTTGTTTCTTTGTTTGGGAGGTGAGTATGGGAAAATCAAAGGCAGGAAGCTATGATATGAAGTAAATTACATGGTTATTAAGCTTTTAAAAATACCAGTGTGGAACCCTAAAAAACATGTCCTAAAACAGTCCAATAGACTACTGAAAATGTATTGGTTAACAGGGTGGAAAGTACCCCATATTGATAATTATGACCCTATACACAACATCAGTGGTTCAAGCTCACCAGCTGCTCCTTGGAAACCCTATATAGGGTCGCTATGGTTTGGCATCAACTCACGGCACTTAACAACAACAAAAATACATAATAATGATAATGTCAACAAAACTATCATAGATGTTTCAGAGATATTCAAGGCAAAGGAGAATTAACTGCTGTCTCCCAGGAAAAAAGACTCCACTGTCATGCCTAAAGCTGTTTCAGTGAATGGATAATACACACCTGCAATGGCCCATACAAACATCCGTTGGCCACATGAAGCTGTGTATACTTAAGTCAACTAAAGTTCAAGGAAATTAACATCACTGTAAGAAGTTCTACTAGATTACACCAGCAAAAAGACCTTTGATATAAGGACAGGAATTCTAAGCTTTGAGTAAAGGATTTGAAGGTCACTGTAGAAGAATTAATGTATTAGAGTTATGGTGTTGGAGGAGAATATTAAAAATACCATGGACCACCAAAAGAACAAACCAATCTATGTTGGAAAAGGTACAGTCAGAATACTTCTTAGAAATCAGTCTTATAGTTGGGACATATTATCAGGAGGGACTAGTTTCTGGAGAAGGACACCAGGCTTGGTAAAGTTGAGGGTCAGCAAAGGACAGAAAGACCCCCCAGTGAGATGGATTGGTACAGAGGCAGCAGCAACGGGCAAAAGTGTAGCAACAATTGTGAGCTTGGCACAGTGTTTTGTTCTATTGTGCATAAGGTCACTCTGGGTTGGTACCAACTCAATGGCACCTAACAAAAATAACAACAATTTTCTCTTATCAAAACAGACACATGATGGTTGGTCAAAGTAAGAATGGCAATAAATGCAACAAGGTTTGAAAGGCAGTGCCAGGTCTCCATCAGACATCTGACCCAGTGAGTCTACGACTGATCACTTTGAAGGCCACGGAAAGGCAGCTACCCCCAAACTCACACTGCAGAGAGCAGTCCCCTGCTCAGGAGCTCCTGGGAGCTTTCCTTGGAAGAAAGGTTGGGAGGTAGAGGAAAAAGGAGGGTGGGAGAAAAGGACACACATTTGACTGTTTGTCCTCTTCTCCCACCCTCCTTGTGGTTGCTAGACAAGACTGTCTGCTCCCAAAGAGATCTACAGCTTTGAAAATCCTATGAGGCACTCTCTCCTATATGGTTGCTATGAGTCAGAATCTATGAGACAGCAGAGGTTTTTGGTTTTTCTATTTGTTTACCCCTTAAATTTATACACAAGGAAATCCAGATTGGAAAGGTGGACACACCTGTGCCTGTGCTTAGGTGAAGAAGTTCCACTTCCGTAGTTGGTGGGGAAAACTGACTTGTCTCTTTACGACTCAGAGCCTCATCTCTAATCATGCTACCACATTCTGCTCACCCTAAAATGGTTCTCAAGCTTTGACAAACAGAAGAATCATCCAGAGAGTTTTTGGCCCATCACTGGAAAGACTCTGAAACAGCTGGAAGGAAAGGGGTCATGAATTTGCATTCTGGCAAGCTCACAGGGGAGGCCAATGCCACTGGTGTGGGGACCATGCTCTGAGAACCAGCAGAGTAAGGAGCCAGACTATGGCCCAGGTACTGATTTTTATCATTCTTCACTGATTATGCCTTGAGGTGGGGCAGAACAAAAGCACTCAATTAACTTACAAGGAAATTCCAAATGGCCCATTAACCAAGAATGGGTTCTTTGTTTGAGTGACTTCCTTGCATTTCATTGTCTTTAAGGGAAAATAATAACTTGCATGGTGAATTAAGAGTAAATAAAATTGGTAAGATAGTGGAATAAGGTGGACCCACTGAGCCAGACCTCTGCAGCAAAGACAGGGAAGATGGAGTGAAACAAATGCAGATGGCATCAGACATAAGACAGTGAGGTGGACTGAATGCTGACTAGAAGAGGAAGCTGAACAGGAGCAGTGAAAGTGAAGAAAAAAGCAGGCGGATTGTAGGCTGGTGTGAAGTGGCAGGGCCTTTGATACAGCAGCCTGTAGGCACAGGATGTGAGTGGAGATTAAAGGCAAGGGGGTTGTAGCTCTCCCTTTTTCCATGCCCTCCTAGTAGCCAAGGGCATGGCCAGTCCCCACTGTCACCAATTCAGTGGCTAATGGCAACCTCTCCTGTGCAGGCTCTACTCTGCCTGGGGTCAGGCATCAGCCATAGTTCCCTTGCTTCTGGAGGCGTGTGAACCCTCCCTGAACTATGCTACAGAGAACTGCATTCACACTTCCAGTCTCTACCACATCCACCAGGAGACAGGTGGTGAGTGCCTGAGAACACACCAATATACAATCTCCAATTAAACCACAATGTCTTGATAATTTCAGCTTACACAAAGAAACCAGATAGAGTGCCTTAAACAAGTGGCCAAAATAGAGAGTCAAAAACGTAGTACCAGAAATGGTATCAGATTTACTTGATAAGGAATTTAATAGAATGCTATCAGGTACCTTCAACAGACTGACAGAATGACTGAGAAAACTATAACTCAATCAAAGAAAACAGACAAAACTAGAAGAATTCAGGAAACTGATAATACATGGGGATAAAAAGGGGGAACCAAGCAAAAACAGCAAGTCTAGAAATAGATAATACACTGAAAGGGAAAATAAGTAGAATTGAATCACTGGTAGGCTGAATTACTGACCTTGAAGAAAAATCTTTCAATATTCATTTGCTAGAGGAACAATTAGAGGAATAACTTATGTGTGATTGAAATTCCACAACAGGAAGAGACAAAAAAAAAAAAACCAATAAAAAAAACAGAGAATATTGTCCAAGAGTTCTGGAAGGAAACTTCTTTAACATCATGAAAGAGAAGAAGATAACCATTCAAGAAGTTGAACAAATTCCAAACAGGATAGACCCCTAAAGAAAAACACTGAGATATATTATAATCAAACTTTTCAAAACCAAACACAAAGAGAATACTGAGATAGGAAAAATGAAGTTACCTACAAAAAAAAAAAATAAGACTAAGACTCTGATTTCTCAGCTGAAACCATGCTGCAGGCAAGAAAACAATGGAATGACATATATATAAAACTCGGAAAGAAAAAAATTGCCAACCAAGAATCATACCCAGCAAAACTGTCCATCAAATATGATGGCAAAATTAGGTCATTTTCAAATAAACAGAAATGAAAAGAATTTGTAAAAACCAGACTAACCTTACAAAAAATACTAAAGAGAGTTTTCTGAACAGACAACCAACAATAGCAGACAACGACCCGAAACTAACATACATGATAGATAGTATCACCTTCTCTGAGCCCAGATGTCAAGAACCAAAGATAAAGTTGCAACAAAACAAAGCCATAAAGTAAAAAGAGGGAATAATGCACCTACATTATTATACATTATTATCATTATACATTAATGAGGAGGAAATTAAGTTAATTTCAATAAAAATAAATAAAGATAAACTTAACTGTAACCTTAAAAACTAAGGAACTCTGGTAGGGTAGTGGTTAGGAATTGGGCTGCTAACCTCAAGGTCAACAGTTCAAAACTACCAACCACTCCATGGGAGAACAATGACACCAAATACTGCCCAGTCCTGCATCATCCCTGTGATGGGTTGTGTGTTGGGCCATTTTCATCCATAGGGTTTTCGTTAGCTGATTTTCTGAATTAAGATTGCCAGGGCTTTCTTCCTAAGCTATTGGGAAGAGCCACTGAAACCTGTTTAGCATCACAGCAACAAACAAGGCTCCACTGACAGATGGATGATGACTATGCATAAGCATTCTCCTACTGAGTCAGCTTCAATTTTATCTCTGCTGGACATGGACAGGCATTTTATAATCTGTGCACAATCAGCCTAGACTGAAATTGGTTCTGATTTTGTAATTATTGTTAATGTTGAATTTAATTGTGATTTACTATTCATTTATCATTCTCATTATTAACTTAATCTGTTGTCACTCTCCTCATCCCCACCCCAGCTTCTAGTGTCAACTCTTTGTACCACAAGATTGTTGATGTGAACAACTATACATTGCTACTCAAATAAGAAACACCTATATAAACATTACTAAGGCAAATAGAATCGTCAAGTCCAAAACACATTTACTTGTGTTATAGAACAAACACACTTGTACTGTGTGTGTTTGTGCAATTTAAGTAACTTATAATACTTTCAAGGTCAAATGCAACCTAGTATGTATACTTTTCTATAGCTTATGGCCCACTTGCTTGTCAGTTTGTCCATCTGTGGTGACTTGTATGTTACTATGATGCTGGAAGCTATGCTGCTAGTATTTCAAATACCAAGCAGATAACATGTGGTGGTCAGGTTTCGGTAGAGCTTTCAGATAAAAATAGAATAGGAAGAAAGACCTGGAGATCTACATCAAAATTTAGCCAATGGACTCTCTATGGACCACAATACAACACTGTCAAATATAGTACTGGAAGATGCTTGCCCTACCCCGGGAGGCATTCACAGTACAATGACTACAACAGTGAACTGGAGAGTATCCACGGTTGTGAAGGTGGTACAAGACTGAGCAAGATTCATTCTGATGGATATAGGATCACCTAAGGAGCTCTGGTAGTGTAGTGGTTACAAATTGGGCTGCTAACCTCAGGGTCAGCAGTTCAAAACTACCAGCTGTTCCGTGGGAGAAAGATGAGGTTTTCTGCACCCGTAAAGATTACAGCCTCGGAAACCCTGTACAGGGTTAGATGAGTCGGACCCGACTCCATGACACACAGCCATACACAGAAGTTTTTAAAAAGAATTCCAAAGTTAGCTCATAAGATTATGAAATTATTTTTTGTTTACAGGACAATTTTACATAATACAAAATCAGTACATGACAGCTCATATTTCTCCCATATCCAAAAAATACCTGAACCCCTAAAACTGTAGTCCTTAAGACATCGTTGAAACCTTAACTGAACCCACTCTCAGGGATCACCTTTCAGCCAAAGAACACACAGGTTTATAATTTGAACGATAACATTTACAAGGAACATAAAACCAAGATTTTTGCCCTGAACAAATGGAAACATGTCAGGGAGATGGAACAGGGTTCTTTTGCTAGCCTAGGTTTGATCACAGTGAGGTGACCACCACCTTTTGAAGGTGCCAAGTTCAAACCTCAGTTTCTGACCACTGTCCTCTTTTTGGGGGGAGCAGCCAAAAGTATAAAGGTTACCCTTCACCCTTGCTTCTGTCTAACTACCACGGATGGATGGAACCAGGGGTTTTCAATCTAGTTGAAAACTGGTATTTGGAATCTGATAATTTTCTGTTGTACAGACCTGTCCTGGAACTGGCAGGATGTCAGGGGCTTCTCTGACAGCTAGCCATGTGAATCCAGCAGCTCCTCAGTCTACTAACCCCATAATTGAACTGTCTCCAAACCTTGATAACTGTCCCCTTGGGGTCAAAAGTGCCACCTACCCAATCACCACACCAGAAAGACACCAGTATGAGGATAAGTTATTTCCTGGAGTAGAGGGGAAATGATAGAGGAAGAAGAGCATACCATAGAAGTGAAATGTGAAGGGATCATGAAAAGGTAGAAAAGTCAGGGATGAATGAGTAGAAGATGAATAAGAAGAGGAGGATGCAGGAGTGAGGGAGCCTCTAGGAGCCAAAATGTGGGGCAGAAACGTAAGAGATAGGAGCTCTGGAAGCATAGTGGATTTTGAGCTGGGCTGTGAACTAAAGATCAGCAGTTCAAATCTACCAGCTGTTCCACAGGAGAAAGATGAGGCTTTCTACTCCTGTAAAGATTTACAGCCTTGGAAACCCTATACAGGGTCACAATGAGTTGGAACCGACTCAGCACCACATAACAACCACCAGTGCCTGTTAGCCCTGGAGTCAAATCCTTGGGTGGCATAAATGGTTAACACTCATGCTCACACTCCACTATTTACTGAAAAACCAGCAGATGTTATAAAGTGACTTGTGTCTTCAAAAATATGTACTATAAATCCAAACTTCTGTACCTGTGGATGTAATCCCATGGGATAGGGTTTTCTTAGTTATGCTAATGTGGCCATATCAATGTAGGGCATGTCTTAAACCTGTCATGTGTGATATATAAAAAAGCAGATTAGGTTTAGGGACAGAAGCAAGCAAGCACAGATGGGGAAAGCTTGATGCCAAGCAATGGAGTAATTGAGGAACACAGTTTAAGAGACAAAGACCTATCCCAAAGTTAACAGAGAAAAACTCTTCCTCAGAAGTCTTTGTCCTTCAAAAAGCTTGTAAGCTTATAACTGACTGGATTTACTAAAAGGGGAAACAGAATTTGCACAGGGAAACAGGCTTCTTGTTAAGCCTTTGTAGAGTATGGGGCCTTAGGTGGAATCTTGAGCTCCACCCAGAATCTTCTGAGTTGGGACAATCCCCTAGAAAAGGTGTGCAGACCAACCCAGAACTGCCGGGGAACAGAAGCATCTTAATGAAAGAAAGATCTGCAGATGAAAAATAGTTTGAATATCAAACAAGCTGTTTGCTTTGGAGGTATAAGGAAAGAAAAGTCAGCTCATCAGGAAATCCCCCTTCTAAGACTGAAACTCAAAGAAAACCCATCTAGCATGCTCTCTGGTAACCATGTGGGTGTACTTGTGAATGGAAGTTGGGGAAATGCAGCAATGAAGACATGAGCTGAGTTTGGCCATGTTCCATTGGCACCCATTAACCTTGAGATGAGAAAGAGAAGAGGAAGGGCTGGCTGGTTTGGAGTTTTGGAGTTTGGGAAGATGTGTGAACTCCTGAGCCCATGGGCTCAGATGGGGAAAGTGATCAGCTGGTCTGAAGTGCAGGGAAGTGTTTGTGAATTCCCGAACTCCCAGCTAGTACCCATTTGATGTAGCTTGGATGACTAGTCAACCAGAACTTGAACCCAGGAAGATAAAGATGTTTGATACTGAGAACAAGTGCAAATTGTTACAATTTGATGAACTAGACTTTTGACTATAAATGCAGTGACTCAAAATTCCAACCAGAATGGAAGGATTCTTCCTATTGGTGTACTGGGCTGATGAGAAATTTAGACATTGGCTATCAAAAATGGGGGTTGTAAAGGCATGAAGTGGCTGGCTTGCAAACTTTCATGAGTGTGCTTTGTTTCAGAATGAAGATGGTTAAGGTAGAATCCCCACTGAATAGTTTCCCTCTTTTCCAGATGGATCTAGTGAAAGGGGGTTGGAGGTGATGGTGATAGGATTTTATGACTGAATTGTCAATATGTGTTAGCAGGATTAATTGCAATTGTCACAACTTTATTTGCAGAAGATATGTTAACTAAAACGGGGAACAGTTCATTTTTCATATCAAGAACAGACGGTCCCAGGATCAGCAAGATGGAAGAGCATGAGATCCCTATCTAGAAAAGCAACAACAGCAGAAACAGTGGCAGAGGCAGGGGCATGGAGAGACAGAGGAGTTTTGGGCTCCAGGCCCATGGACTGAGAAACGTTCTGTGCCTGTGGCCAGGGGGCTGCAGACAGAACGCACCCTTTGGACATTTACATAAAGATATATTTTCTGTTTTTTGGAGTGTACATCAAATATTTTTGTCATATTCATTTGTGAAATATAAGATGTAAATGGGGAGCCACTGGGAGGAAGTAGTATAAATGTTGTTGCATGGAGGGGATTGTAATAAAATTAAATTAAAAAAAAAATTGAAATCAGTGTCCTTAATGGAACATGAGAACATTGGTCTCCAAGATGCTGAGACCAGAAAAACTAGATGGTGCATGACTCCCTTTGAAAGGGGTCACATTAGATAGAAGATCCCAAATATATTAGGAGAAAATGTGGAACAAAACTCAAAATTATGTAGAAAAAGACTAGGCTTATTGGTCAGAAAGAGACTGGAGGAAACCGAGACTATGACCCTTGACCACCCTTCAAATATGGAAAGAACTCTATGGTACTTGTGGCTCAATTTTCAGCCAAGCAGTGTATAGGGATATAGGAGGAACAACATGAGTAAGATATGCTCACCACAAAATGGTCAATCATTCAGAATCAAAAGGCAACATTTAACTCAGGGCAGAGTTGAGAAGGGATGGGAAGGAGGGTGAAATGGAAATAGGAACCACGGGGAGGAAGTGGGATAACTGCTGTTGCAAGGAGGGGATTGTAATCATTGAGATGGAACGAAGTGCCCAGTTTGTTGACTGTAAAACGGATGATCTTGTCTATAAACCTTCACTCAATTCACAATAAAAAGCTTAAAAAAAAGAAAGAAACAAAGAAGAAGAGGTAGAGGGAGAAAAAAACAGTGTCTTAATTTTGGACTCTAGTTTCTTTACTTGTGAGAAAAATGAATTTCTTTGTTAAAGAAATTAATACTTTGTTAAAGAAATAACACTTGTGATATTTCTGTTTGAGTAGCACTAGCCAACTATGAAATTTGTGTCAACCTAGAGGTGTCTAAGTGCTCCTTCTAGAAAATCAGCCATTGAAAACCCTATAGATTGTCATGAGTTAGAGTTGGCTCAAAAACAATTGATTTACAAGTTACCCCTGAGATAAGAATGGAAAAGGCCCTAGGGAGAGGTATACCAGAGGCCCCAGTTAGTACCAGCATCGTTCATTTTAATTATTTATAGGATGGTTGGGCAAATGGATATTGGGTGGGCATGTGGATATTCACTACTATTCATCTTTTAAATTCTATAAGCTGTAAAAATGTGTATGCATATCTGGATAGTCATAACTGTACCATTTACTAGCTTAACTGTGTAATTCTTAACTTGTTATTGTTAAGTGCCATAGAGTTGGTAACGACTCATATCAACCCTTTAAAGGATTGCCAAGGAGCGGCTGGTGGGCTTTAACTGCCAACCTTGTGGTTAGCAATCCAGTGCTTATCCTACAGTGCCACATGTTTGATTAAAAGCGGGAAGGTATATCTAAAAGAGTTTGGAGAGAAACAAGACAAAATGGAATGCCAATGAAAGAAAACAAAAGAAAGTAAGAATGATAGAATTAAAGGGTTGAGGTCTTTCATTCCTCAGCTGCTCCCTATGGCCTGCTCAGGGACCATTAAAGAAGGCGAAATGTCACAGATACTTCATGCTTAACAAATAATACTGAAGCATCTTGAACTGTATGTCAGAGAAAGTAAGACTGTATTCCTGCCCTTGAGAGCTTACCATTGATTTAAGGCACCAATGCACCAATAAGCTAGGTAGTCAAGAAAAAACACAAATAGGCTAGTGCAGGCAACAGCTGGTACAGGAGGCATGATTCAGAGCCAGGCTCTGACCCAACAGAAGGGCAGGGAACAGGTACTCTCAGGCGGGTTGGTCCAGGGGATGGGAGGAGTGAGGGAGACATAGGCTAGTTGGCAACAGAGTTGGTAGGAGCAGAAAGCCCACTAGAAAAAAGTGGACCAAGAAACTCAGGCTTCATTGAAAGAAATCAACACAAAAGGGTCCTACTTGAGGTGCACACGATCCCTGATGAAGACTTGGGCTGTGGGCGGATGACAGGCGTTGAAGTGTGTGTCAGAACTCTTGGGATGTACTGGGGCACAGGAGACGGGTTGTACTGGGTTGGGTACGCTGGGTAGGCACTGGGGGCCTCCGGAGGACACCGAAGGTAGAAATTCTCTGGCTGGTATCCATGGTTTTCAAAGCAAGGTCCAGCATCTGGTGACTCCTAAACAATAGAAAAGAAGGTGAAAGTCAAAAAATCCTGAATTGCCTCCTAAGTCATTTAATAAATAATACCATATGACATTCAGACAAGAAAGTGAGTCAGTACTCGTATCACAGACCTTTGTAGGGCAACTGTGGCGTGGTGCTGTAGGATAAGTACTGGACCCTAAGGCCACTCCTCAGAAATCCTATACAGGGCTGCTATGAGTCAGAACCAACTCGACAACACTTAGTAACAACATGGTTATGTCAAAGCACTGAAATTCAGCAGAATGAAAACTAACAATAATTTTCCATGAACCATGCAATCCCTGCACCCCCAAACTCCCATTTTTTAAAAGCTGTTTTTTAAGTTGTTGAAAATAGGGATACAAATAAATACTTACCCACCAATGTTCGATGCAACATTGTTCACAATAATCAAAATATGGAAACAACCCAAGTGTCCATCAACAGATGACATAAACCAAATGTGATACAGGCAACATCTGTTAGTGTGCCATCAAGATGACTTTAACTATAGCAACACCATACAACAGAGTTGAACTGTATCAAAATTTTCCTGATTATAATCTTTATGGAAGCAGAATGCCTGGTCTTTTTACCACAGAGCCACTGGATGGGTTTGAACCAGTCATTTTAGTAAGCAGCCAACTACTTAACCATTGAACTGCCAGGGCTCTTTGGTATATCCGTACAATGGATTGTTACTCAGATATTAAGAGAAATAAAGTTCTGTGATGTGTATGAACCCTGAAAATATTGTAGTGAGTGAAATAGTGAAATATCAAGTCATAAAAGGACACATAGTGCATGATCTCACTTGTTGTTGATAGGTGCCATCGAGTCAGTACTGACACAGCAGAAACGAAACACTGCCCGATCCTGGGCAAACCTCACTACTGTTGCACGCTTGAGTCCATCGATGCTGCCACTTATTTGATCCATCTCATTGGGGGTCTTCCTCTTTTTATCTGACCCTCCACCTTACCAAACATGATGTCCTCCTCCAGCGACTGGTACCTCCTGACAATATGTCCGAAGCATGAGAGATGAAGTTTGGCCATCTTGGCCTCCAAGGGGCACTCTGGCTGCACTTCTTCCAAAATGGATCTATTGGTTATTTTGGCAGACCATGGCACTTTCAATAGTCTCCTCCTCCAACACCATAACTCAAAAGCATCAATTCTTCTACGGTCTTCTTTATTCACTGTCCAGCTTTCACATGCATATGAAATTATTAAAAACACCATGGCTTGGGTTAGGCAAACCTTAGTCCTCAAACTGACATCTTTGCTCTTCAACACTTTAAAAAGGTCTTGTGCAGCAGATTTGCCTAATGCA